TCTCCTAGTGGTGCAGCAAAAGCAGCTGCTTTTTCTCAGTCTCTTTGTTTTCTCTCCTTGGCCTCCTCCTCATCATGGCTATAGAATACTGAGGAGGTTATTCTTACTAACATCTCAAGTGAGCTATCTGGGGTGAAAGCCATTCTTTGTAGCTTTTTCTCTCCAGGAGGACACTATTTCTTATGTCCCCACGTCATCAGAAATGATTTGTTCCCTGAACATGGATCCACAGTTTCCTTTAGGCTTTCCTTTGGGCTCCTTTTTTCCTCTTTTCCTTCCCTTTGCCTGTAAACTTCCCATTGCTAAGGACCCATCTGACACTCTCCTTTTGAGGCAAGGGATCCAGCCCTCCTCGGGAGGTGAACGTTCCCACTGAATCTTGTCTTCTGGAAGGTCCTGTCATACAGCCACCACCCTAATCGTAGTTACACACACCTCCTACATTCCCACAGTACTGCAGAAATTCTCCTACTGTGCCCGTATCATTCTTACAATTTACCTGCCCTTCCCACGACTCTAAGCTCCCTAAAGGCAGAACATGTGTAGCTCTTGTTCACAGGTGAGTACCCAAGCCCAAGACTGAACTGGCACTTCGTATTAGCTCACCAAAGAAGCAGAGGGGAGTGAGGAAAGAGTAAGGCAGCCATACCCCCTGTGTCGATATGCTCTTTAGAGTTTATGCTATTATTTCCACTCCTGCTTCCTCAACCATTGTCCCCAGGCAGACTGAGTCACCGGTCTAGCTAGGTTTTACATTCCTCTATACAGGCAGCAACGTGTGGCATATCTATCTGCTCCACCTGACTAAACTTTTTGAGGGAAATGATCGTGTTGACATCCAGAAAATAGTGCGGGTAAGGAGTAATCTTATAATTTTATTTTATTGTCTTTTATTTTATTGTCTTTTTGAGACAGGGTCTCGCTGTGCAGTTCAGGCTGGCCTTGAGCTCACTTTTTAGCCCAGGCTGGCCTCGAACTCTCAATGATCCTCCTGCCTCAGCCTCCCGAGTGCTGGGATTACAGGCGTGCGGCACCACGCCTGGCAAATCTTACAATTTTAAAAAGCTAAATTATAAAGTATTCGTAGGCAGGAATCCTAACTACCTTTCGTTTAAGTAGACCCTAAGCAAATCCAAGTGAGCTCAGTCACAGTGTCTTCATTATAAATTGGAACCAGTGGGCCCGTGTTGGCAGCCCAGCTGGGTGAGGGACCAGATGATGGGTGAGTTATCATCTCTGTAGGCCCTTCCTCCCCGTAACGGGACTGTGGTCCTGCATGGCTTCGTAAACGGCGCCGAGCGCTACGTCAGTGGTAGTGTTCGCTATCACCGGTAGTGGTGTCTTGTTAAGCTTTGGGTAAGGACTGCGGAACTCGAGGGAGGACGGCCCTGGCGGGTGCCCGGAAGACAACTGATGTGCACCCCGCCCCAGGACTCGCAGCTCCCGCCCCTAACCCGCTTTTGTGGAGTTCTAAGGCCCCTCCCACCTCGCTCCAGAGGCAAGAGGTGGGTTTGGCTGAGGTCGGGGGCTCAGGTCCGGGACCCATTCCACCTGACCTGCTGCGCGACATGGCTGAGCTCGCTGTCAGGGCTTCCTCTGCCAGAAGCCCCACCTGCAAAATGGCTTCAAAGTGCTTCCAGCCTATAGCCAGTCCTCTTCCAACTTCTCGACGCGGACGCTATCTCCCACCGAGACTACGGCTCCCTCACAAGCCAGCACTGACGGACGACAGCACCAAGCCAAACACCGGGGTTGCCAGGGGTGTGCCCCACTTCCGCCCCACAGCTCGGAAGTGCCCTCGATCTCGCGAGACCCGGTGGCGGGTGGGGTCTGGCTACTCTCGCGAGACCAGGAGGATCGGCGCGGGGTAGCTGTGCGCAGTGTGGAGGTCGTTGGAGTCACTTAGTCGGCCAGCTCCTGCACCTGCGGCTCCGTTCCCAACCCTCTCTAAGCATGCTGTCCGCCCTCGCCCGGCCCACCTGCGCCGCTCTTCGCCGCAGCTTCAGCACCTCGGCCCAGGTAGGCTCCGCGAAGGGCGGCGTGCGGCGGGGGATCCGGGCCGCGTGCGTCCCGGGCTCGCGCGCATTGCTGACCCCTCGGCCAGCCTGGACTGCACGGCCGCCGGCGCTGTCTGAAGGGACGAGATGAGGGTGGCGCAATAGGTCAGCGCTGACGCCGGGCGGGCAGTGTAGAGGAAAAACCCTGGGAGAGGGGCCAAGTGGCCCAGCTTTGAAGAGGGTGCATTTATTTAGCAGAGCCCTCTCAGGTCACCCCCCGCCCCCGGACTCTGGGAAAGTCTGCGCTTGCCCTGCACCCCTTCGGGGTTGGGAAGCCAGAATTCTAGGTCCGGAAGTAACTTGAGTCTTTGTGCAGCTTTCCGTTGCGTTGTCATAGCTAATCTCGCTCTTCTTGCAGCGTCCGTGAATTGTGCGTGAATAGGAGAAATCGTGTGTAATACTAACTCCATAGTACAGGCCGACTGAGCCCCCCACGGTGAGAGGACTGGGCCAAACAAAGTTACACAGTCATCTGGCCAGAGGATTCAAGCTCAGCCCTCCTGGCCCCTGTCAGTGGACCACCCGCTAAGAGTTTGAACATTATGTTTTAAGAACCCTTTTAGCCTGGCGTGGTGGTGCACCCCTGTAATCCCAGCACCCGGGAGGCTGAGGCAGGAGGATCCTTGTGAGTTCGAGGCCAGCTCGGGCTACAAAGTGAGCTTGAGGCCAGCCTGAACTGCATAGCGAGACCCTGTCTCAAAAAAGACAAAAAAAAAAAAGAACGCTTTGAAGAATCTACCCTCCTGTGAGCAGACTACGCCTTCCCTGATATGTTTTAACAGCGCAGGACTTGGCCTGGGCCCATTTAAGCCTAAGCTATTTTTAGCCATCTAGGAGAGTGGTTCTCAAACCCGGTGTATATCAGAACTACGGGAAACCAGAAAAGTACTGAGGCCCGGACTCCTTGCAGAAAGATAAGACATGGGCCTCTATTTTCATCAGGTGCTTCCAGTACAGCAGAAGTTTGAGAACCCAGGAGATGCCTGCATTAAATATCATGTCCAAAAGGGAAATGATTAAAAGAGGTTCCAAGTTTTTATTTAGGTTATGTCTTTCCTTTCCCTGTACAATCATTTCATTACAAAAATAAAGATATAAATAAATATATCGAGCACTATATGTCTGCTTGCCAACCTTGTGCTGGGTGCTGCAGGGGATACCAGGGTGAGTGAGAAGATGGGCCAGAAATGAGTTCTCTTAGGACAGGGGGAATTGGTGAAGATTGATGCTGAGGAGGGAAGACAGGGAAGAATGTAAGCAGATAGGGGGAGTGGTGGGGTTTTTTGGTTTGTGGGGCTGGGGATTGAACACAGGGCCTTGCATATGCTAGCCACACGCTTTACCGCTGAGCTACAACTGCCGCCCAGGAGGATCACCTTCATGTACAACATCCTTGCTGATGCTAGGCGCTGGAAATATTATAGTGAACAGAACAAAAAATTCCCATTCTCGGGCTGGGGATATAGCTGAGTGGCATAAGCACCTGCCTGGCAAGCACAAGGTCCTGAGATCCCCGCTACCACCACAGGGGAGGAAAAAAAAATTCCTGTTCTCCTGACATTTACCATGTATTTCATTATTGTTTATTTCTCTTATAAAGGATCAGTGATGAATGAGTACAGAACAAATAAAGTAAGGGGAGGAGGGGTCAACAAGAGGTTTGCAATTTTAGATCAGTCAGTTTATGTGACATTTCAGGAAAGCCCAGAAGGAAGCAGAGGTCATATCATATAGTGTTCCAGGCAGGGGGACCCCTGGGGTGCTTGAGAATACCAAGAGGCCTCTATAGTTCTAGAGAAGGCAGTGGCAGGAATGATGCAGCAGGCCTTGTACAACTAGCATTTTCTCAGAAACAGGGTAGCCTTTTGAGTTTTTGAGCAAAGTAATCACTTGCTTATATGCTCATTTTAATCAGTCATTAAGGCAGGTTAAGAGTTGTGATCTGGGTAACCGCTGTGGACATGGCAAAAAGTTACTGAAGTCTGGATATTTGTTGCCTGTAGAGGCATCAGGATTTGGTGATTTCATTCGATGAAGAGTAGGAGAGAGTGCAGAGTCAGAGATGACACTAAGATTTGGGACTTAGAGTTGGTATTTTCCAAGATGGGCAGAGGCTTCTGAAACAGCAGGTTGGGGCAGGGTAAAGATTCTGGAACTCAGTTTTAGATGTGTTAAGTTTTAAATGCCAACTGGGTATCCGAGAGGAGATGTTGAAGAGGCTGCTAAATTAGTCAGAAAAGTAGACTTGAGCCAATGGTGCATTGACCTTCAGGCTTTGGATTGTGTATCCTCAACAGTAAAAATGTGGTGCACACCGTCTGGGTAGATCTTTTTCCACGTATATACTAATAAATGCATCGTAATAGAAACACAGAAACAAGTTGAGAAGCAAACCATAACAAACTTACATTTTAAAGCAGACCTGTAGATGGAGAATTAGAGTATATCCATTTTCAGAACAGTTGCTAAGCAGTGTGCTGTTGATAGCCATGCCCCAGCCCAGTAAAGGTCAGCAGGCTTGGAGGACAGCTCTTTCATAAAGACTTCAGGAACTAACCATTGTAACCTCAAAGATCTTCCTTTTGTTTCAGTGCAGTGTAGAGATCCCACTGGTGAGGGTCGTGTTTTTGCAGCATAAACTTAAATTGATAAAGCCAGGCATGGTGGCGCACGCCTGCAATCCCAGCACTCTGGAGGCTGAGGCAGGAGGATTGTTGTGAGTTCGAGACCAGCCTGGGCTACAAAAGTGAACTCAAGGCCAGCCTGAACTGCATAGCAAGACCCTGTCTCAAAAAGACCAAAAAAAAACTTAAGTTGATAAATGTGAGCAAACAGGAACATTGCCTCAACCCAGAGAAAGCAAAGAAATTAGGAAGTTACCTCCCTCCCCAACCCCAGTTGTGCTCATTTCGTGTACTATGTGGGACTGATCTATTCAAGAACCCTTGGGAGAGAGCCCCAGGTTGGTCTGTTACTTAGTAGTGTTTAATTCTTGGTTAGATAAAAATAAAAACACAACTTTTGATCTTGTCATCCTTTTTCCCTCTTGAGATTGTCTTAAGCTGCCCACTTTGGAACTGCTGCTGTGGTCAGCAGCCTTGGAAGCCAGGCCAGGGCGTGGCACAGGAGGAGCTTCTTTAGATTCTGTGCAAGGGAGTGAATGAAGGAAGCTTAAGATGTTAGGAGGGAGGGCCTGGAGGTGGAACCAGATACCTAAGTAGAGGACAGAATGGGGATGGACAGATAGAGCAGGTTGGGGTGGTGTTTGAGATGCCACCTCACTCACGTCCTGATTGGATGGCTCTGATGTGGGAGAAGGAAGAAGTAGAAGATGGTTCTAGAAATCTAGTATCAGCTGAGTAGAAATGCCGCTTGGTAAGAGGTAGGCGAAGAGGACATAGATGGACATTTGGACGTGTGGGACAGTGCAATGCCTAGCAGAATTGGAACTGTAGGACTGGAGTCTGGGAATTCCTAAGATGTGAGGCAAGGCCCAGAGTGGATTGAGAATGCCAGGCTTCAGGTCTGGGTTGGTCCAGCTAGCTAAGATTTCTAGGAATTCAGGGGTCCACCTTTGAGGCACCACTGAAAAACAGAAAAGCTAGCCAGGTGTGGCACCACACGTTATCCTAGCTACTTGGGACACTGAGGCTGGGAGACTGCTTGAGTTTAGAAGTTTGAGATCAGCCTAGGCAACGATAGTAAGACCCATCTCAAAAAAGAGGGGGTTTGGTCAGTGGTAGAGAAGTTGCCCAGCGTGTGTGAGACCCTGGGTTTGATCCCCATCATCACACACGAAAAACATCCCAGAACCTGTCTGAATTCAAATTTTGGTTGCTTTTAGATTTAATTTCATAAGCAGAAAAACACTGTTAAGTTGTCTTGGTTTTGGTACTTGATAGCCAAAGCGTATCATTACCTAGCATTGTTTGTTTTTTGTTTTTTGGGTTTTTTTTGGGGGGGGGCGGTACCGGGAATCAAACTTAGGACCTCAGGCTTATCAGGCAAGCACTTATGCCGCTATATCCCCGGCCCTTAGCATTGGTTATTGTAGACTGCATGGTCAGCCCTCCATAACTGCAGGGTCCACATTCACAGATTAATCCAACCTCAGATGGAAATTTCAAAAAGAAAAATACTGTGTCTGTACTGAACATGTACAAATTCACAGTTGTCATTCACTAAACAGTACAATATAACTATTCTGTTAGCATTTACATTGTGTTAGGTTTTATAAGTTAACTACATAGGGGGATATGCAAATATGACTGGGGATTTTGGTATGGGGTGCCCTAGAGCTAATCCCCCAAAGATACCCAGAGACAGCTGTACTTCTCTTCCAGCTCTTTTCCTCTCACTCCATTTGACACCCCCCCCCCGCAACACACACACACACACACACACACACAAACACACACACACTCACACACACTCCTTCTCCCCAAAACTGGCAAGGTCTTCATTCTTGCCACCCCCACATGCCTGTTGTTAGGATCTCAGTTTGTGTAGAGTTTTTAAAACTGTGGATTAAAGGTAAGGTTATTATCAGCCCAGCTGCCTGATTGATCACAGCAAGTTTGGTTTCTTTTTTCTTTTCTGAGACAGGGTCTCACTATATAGTCCAGGCCGGCCTTGAACTCACTATGTAGCCCAGGCTGGACTCGAACTTCCAGTGATCCCCCTTGCCTCGGCCTCCTGAGGGCTGAGATTACAAGTGTGCAGCACCAAGCTTGGCCACAGCAGCTCTTTGTATCTTTCCAGAAGAACCTGAGAGCTATCCTAACGTCTGTAGTCATGTTCTCCCCATTTGAAACTGGACCAATTGAAACAATTCTACCAGAATAAAACTGGGAGAAATAGGACTGTGTGTGGCTTTGGCATCACTTTAATAAAAGAAGCCCAGGGCCAGATTCTGCAGAATTCTTGTAATGCTGATTGTGTCCTGAAAGTCGTTTCTCTCCTACCTCTTTTCAGAACAATGCTAAAGTAGCCGTGCTCGGAGCTTCTGGAGGAATCGGGCAGCCCCTGTCACTCCTCCTCAAGAACAGCCCCTTAGTGAGCCGCCTGACCCTCTACGATATCGCGCACACACCTGGAGTGGCTGCGGACCTGAGCCACATTGAGACCAGGGCCACTGTGAAAGGTACGGGGGAGCCCTCCCCAGAAACGCTACCGTCTTCCCTGTGGATCCAAGTTCAAGAATAAGATCTTAGATAAAGCTAGATGTTTACACACTGGGTGTGGGGGGGTGTTCCATGTTCATTTTAGAATTAGATTTTAAACACAGTTTTGGACTTGGCTCTATGAAAATTTATAAACAGCAGTGTCTTAGAAAAACAAAGTGGTCCAATTTTCCCAATTTTTACTTCTGCTAATTCGAAAAGTAGTATGAGGATGAGGAAGGGGAAGTGTCCGAAGACCCTCGGGGGCAACAGGAGGTGCCATCCCCCAGTGTGCCACAGGCTGCCTTTCCTCCACCCCCAGTGCTCCGCTGGCCCGTGATGCCTTAGCAGGCTCCACCCTTCCTCCCTGGTGGACCGTTTGCAGTTGCATGTAGTTGTATACCCTGAGTGTTTGACCTTCACAGCATAGCAGGGTTTATTCATGTCATGATTTAAAAATTCAGTTTTAAAATCACTTTTAAAGCTGTCCTGTAATTTAATCACTTGTTTATTAGACCCATACTGATGGCCATTGGGCTGTTTATAAATTGTGATAGATATCTTTACATCTTCTTCTTAGAGTACTAACAGTCGAATCCGTGGGTGTAAATATTTCAGAGCCTTTACTATAAAGTACCAGCTGCTGTCTAGGAAGGTTATGGTCATGCCGTCCCCAGCTAACAGTGGGCGAGGCGACCCTAGTCAGTCTTCCGCTGCTGTGCACGGCTGGGAGCCGGACACACATGTGCATGCACCTCCCACGGTGCGTCTGACCTTGCCTGACCATTTTCTGGGAGCTGGATATGTGAGTTTCTCAGCGCTCTTACAGTAAGGGAAAAGTTAACATCAGCAAACTTTATACATCATAGAGGATTTCCCTGCAGTGTTCCAAAGCATACTTTTGTCCCTAGGTATAGGAGTAAACAGAATCAGTACAGATGCTTAGGGTTCCTGATGATCAGCCAAGGGCGTCCTCTCTTGGGCCTTCAGCTGTGCCCTCTGTTTGACACCTACTCTAAGGAGTTCTATGGGGTGACACCGCAGTGGGTACATAGCTATTCTGTCAAGGCCCAGCTTGACGTGGACCAGTGAGTGACTGGGTTTGGTTTTGTGGAAACTGAGGATGCATCTATTCTGAAGGGGGCTGTTCTTGCCACGCAATCTGTGCACTCACCAGCAGTCATTGTCACTTCACGGGTGGGGCCTCTAGCCCTTGCTAAGGCCAAGTGTGGGCCACACTTCCCAGGCTTTGTCCCTGAGAGGTGGTAACCTCTCTGGATCAGAGAAGATGTGATGTCTTTTGTCGGTGTCTTTCCTAGGCTACCTCGGACCTGAGCAGCTACCAGACTGCCTAAAAGGCTGTGATGTTGTGGTCATTCCCGCTGGAGTCCCCAGAAAACCAGGTCTGTGTTCAAGGCTTGCCTGCCACCTCCTCCTACATTGGCTGCGAAGGGGGCTTTCCATTCAGAGTGGACCTAATCCGTCACTCTGCTACAGAAACTGGCAAGGGCTCCCCATTCATCGCCTGGGGTTCAAGGTCACGCCCAGACCGGTATTTAAAGCCAGCAGTGTCTGCTGTGTTCTCCCCAGCTCCAGTGTCTCGCTGTTCTTGTTGTACCTGGAACGCCCCTTCCTATACCCAGCTCCACCTTGGGATTCCTGCTAATCCCCGATGACCCTTCTCAGCCATCACCTCGGCTGCCTCCCCGCTCCCCACAGACCTCTGTCCTCGGCTTGCCACCCTGGGTTGTTGTCCCTGCAGACAGTTGTTGGAAAAGGGAGCCCTGTTTTGCTCCATTATAATTTCCTGTAATAGTGAACGCCCAGCGCTTGGCAACTATTTGGAGATTCTTGATATTCTTCATGAATGTCTTGTGCTGGATCATTTCAGGCATGACACGGGATGACCTGTTCAATACCAACGCCACGATTGTGGCCACCTTGACTGCTGCCTGTGCCCAGCACTGCCCTGAAGCCATGATCTGCATCATTGCCAACCCGGTGAGTGCAGGCGGTCGTGTGCTGCGTTTGCAGCTCCCAGCTGGCAGCAGAAGTGTGTTGCTGTGCTTGTGGGAAAAGCAGCAGATCCGTGTGGGCGGGACGTCGAGCACACTGATAAGAGGTCCTGAAACTTACTTCTGCTGAATGAGTTTGAGTGTCGATCTTCACCGACTGTGTGTCTTTGGACAGATCACCTCCCCACTTAGTTTCCCCACCTGGAAACGCATTCATTCTCAGGGATCCTTTCAGCTGTGGTCATGGCAGCCCGTGGGCTCCTTTCTTTATTATATTCTACTTGAGGTTTGCAGTTTCTGGGTTTCTGTCATCCTGTCTCCTGACATTGATACATACCACACCTGCCTGGCCATGTGCTGGGCCACGTGAGAGGACAGCACTGGTCCCCGGGCCTGAGCTGCAGGGCTTTGGGTTGTTTTTAACGGCCGTCCTCTGCTTCCTTGCCTCCTGGTGTATCTGGGTCTTGATCTGAGTAAAAGAAGGACCTGTGTGAAAATGCAGTGACAGTGACAGCAGGATGAGGCTGCTATGTGCACAGAGCCTGTGCTTCTGGCCTCAGACAAAAATCTTACCTTCCCTCTTCCTCGCCTTCCTCGGGTGAGTGGAAAAGTCGACAGTAGCAGTTCCTTTTGTTGGGAACTAGCAGGTGCCTGTTCTACACCTGGCTGTTTTGTTTCACTTTATCATTTTCTCTGTGTACCAGGTAACGTGTTAAGCATTTACCCTATGTTAAGTCATTTCGCAATAGCACAATCGCCTTCACAGTAAGGTAGTTATCATTTTTAGGTGCTAGGGAGTTCACGTGACTTGCCCAGGGTACAACTCAGGAGGTCGAGATGGGATTTGAGCCTAGTCCATCAGCTTTTAGTAAGACCTGGCCAAGTGGAAGGGCCCCGAGAGCCGGCATCGTGTGTCCAAGATGACAGCTGATGGCCACCGAGGGAGTAAGAGTCCCCTGCAGTAAGGAATGTGTTGTTCACATGGCGTGCCTTGTCCTGTCTTGCAGGTGGCTTCCTATAAACAAAGTAACCAGATAAGGCAATTTAATTTAGCACCTTCAGTCTGGTCAGTAGTCTGAAGAAAAGACATTTCCCTTCCGTCCCTTGGCTCTGGTCTCAGAACGCAGGGTACATCATACCTGTCCCTTGGATTTGCTAGGTTAATTCCACTATCCCGATCACAGCGGAAGTTTTCAAGAAGCACGGAGTGTACAACCCCAACAGGATCTTCGGTGTGACAACCCTGGACATTGTCAGAGCCAACACTTTTGTGGCTGAGCTGAAGGTAAGGAGTGTGTCAGTGTTTGGGTCCCCTTTTTTAACTTCTTCAGCCACTCTTGCCCTTTTAGTGGCACAGAAGATGACAGGGCACTTAGACCTAAACACTTAAATGTTTTTTAAACCAGGCATGGTGGCGCAGGCCTGTAATCCCAGCACTCTGGGAAGCTGAGACAGGGAGATCACAAGTTTGAGTCCCACCTGGGCAACTTAGTGTCTCAAAAATTTTTTTAAAAATTTTTAGAAGGGGCCCTGAGGATTTAAATCCCCATTACATGCATATGTACATACATACGTACGTACATAAACATATTTGGGTTTGTCCCCTTAGGGAATAGCCATTACTGCTGTTGGGAGGGGATCCAGGCAGCAGGTTCGTGTGAGCTCAGATTGCCCATAGGCTGCCTGGTTCCACTCCCTCTGCCTTTGACCTCTTCTCAGTTGCATCGAGTCTCAGACTTTCCTGGGTTTCTGGGTGGCCATACTTGGATCATGCTCCCCTGTCTCCCCCTTCTCAGTGCCTGTAGAAAGTGGGGCTACCAGGGTTCACCCACTAGTCCTTAGACAAAGGGTGGCAAAGTCAGCACACATGATGAACTCAGAAAAGTTCCACAAATCCTAAGATACCGGAACTGTTGTCCATGGCCTCTAGCTCTGGCTCCCTTTCCTGGGTCATCTTGTCACTGCTCACCTTGAGGGATCCAGTCCTGCCAGCTGCCTCACATCGTGGGCTGCTGGTCTGAACCAGCCAGCTTGCCTGGGGTGGCTTTGGTTTGGTGCCAGCAGCCAGTCTGGAGTCCCTGGTGCCTTATACAACGTGCTTGTGAATCACTTTGGTTGTGGATCCAGCAGACCCACTTCCTCTGGGATCAGAAAGTGTCCCTGTTGAGCCCTCGAGCCATTGTGTTCTGACTCTGCAGATAAGGAGGGCCTCAGAAGCAGGGAGTGTCTTGACACGGCTTGGTGGCAGATGCACACAGGACTCTTGGGCCCACACCTTACTTCCTGTGCCCCTTACCTCATTCCACCAGACCCCCACTTTACTGCATACTGCAGCTCCAGTATAAGGCCTTGCTCTAGATGTTGGGGTCACAGAGAGCCATAGATGTGGCCTCCATGCTTGGGGGCTCCAAGCAGTGAAGGGGCAAGAGACGCGGGAATTCAGGAGACAGTGGATTGTGCACATAGGGCTGGCGTGTGGTACAACCCATGGGGAAACTGAACCTGAGAGTGGACTGGCAGGGCCGGCGCACCTGTGCCCTTCTGCGGTCCTGCCCATCGGGGAAGGTGGCGTGGCCTTGGGAGCTGCTCGCTTCTGTGTCATCAGCACACACAGCCCAGATTCTACTTAGTCCGTCGGTAGAAACACCTAGCTCATAGGTTCTTGGGGACCGTGTGCCTCGGATTATCAAGAGAGCCTCTAGCGAGCCCTGCTAACCTGGGCCATGGTATTTTGATCACATTGTTTTGTTCTTTCCATCCCGATGAATTTGAGGTGCCAGACTTGTCACCCCTGCATATCTGGGAGTGGGTTTGACTTTTTTCCCTGAAATGAGGGGAAAGAAGTTTGACTTGTCTGTGACAGTGTGGGGCTCACCTGGAGAATGACACGTCTGGAAAAGAGCACGGCCACCCTGTGCTTTTAAGAAGATGTCGGGCTGGTAGGGGACCGGCCAGGGCAAGTCCCAGCTCACTGTGCAGAGGAGCCTGTGGGGACATCACCAGGCAACAGGCTGGCCCTCCCGCACCTGCTCGCAGTGACCTCTGCCGAGTGGCAGGGCCCGGACACTGAGCAGGGCTGGGGCTAGACAGCATCTTCCCGATTCCTTTGTTTGCTTCTGCTTTTGTGGGTTTCCTGGTATCGGTGCTTGAAGTAGACATGGCATGTTTTCTGCTTGGGAGCTTGCTGTCTGTTAATCAAGCTGCACACTTTGGTGAGCAGGGATTGGATCCGGCTCGGGTCAACGTTCCTGTCATTGGCGGCCATGCTGGAAAGACCATCATCCCCCTGATCTCTCAGGTACGTGCGCGTGACACTGCAGGAAGCCTTAAGGTCATGAGCACCTTCACAAGGCCTCTTTGGAAGGAATGGCGGGGATGTGTAGGGACACCCCTACCGCACCCCAGCTGTCTAGGGCTTTCCTGACTGACCATGAGGCCGTGTGGAGTCAGAACAGCTGGTCCATAATCAGAGCCATGTGGGAAACGTCTCTGGGTTGGCTTAGGTCAGAGTGGGCAAAGTGCTTTGTTTAAAAGTAAGGTGAGACAAGGCTAGCACCTCCAAGAATGAGATCTGTCACATCAGCCTCAAAGACCTGGGAAGAACAGTACACTGAGGGGAATATCAAATTATTTGTGATGTTTTTGCCGAAATGCCTAACCTGACAAGAAGCCACAAAGAAACATCTCATATGTCCAAATCAAATACTGTGCAAGTTTAGCCGTCAGTACAAGCATCAGGAGAGATCAGGAAAAGCTGAAGAATTTGCCGGGCGTGGTGGTACACACCTGTAGTCCCAGCACTTGGGAGGCTGAGGCAGAAGGATCCTCATTAGTGTCATGAGTTTGAGACCAGCCTGAGCTACAAAGTGAGCTCAAGGCCTGTGTGAACTGCATAGCAAGACCCTGTCTCATAAAGACAACAAAAAAAAAAAAAAAAAAAAAGCTGAGGAATTTGGGATAAGCAAATGCAAGGGGGACTGCTGACCCGGAAAGGGTGCTCATGGGCAAATGAGATTGGGATAAGCTCTGTGGCTGAGGTAATGATACCCTGACATCATCCCCTGATCGATGTAATTGTACTCTGCTTGTGGAAATGTAAAAAGTTCTTTAAAAATGTGTAGGGGGGTTTATCTTCGTCTTTTCTCTGTAAAGAGGGGGCTCTTGGTTTCCTGGGCAGTGCATAGGAGGGAGCCCACCATGAGGGCAGGGATGGGTCGGGGCAGGGGCTCTGCACCAAGAGGAGCCTGAAGCTGCTCACGTGACCACGACTTGGCTTACAGTGCACCCCCAAAGTGGACTTTCCCCAAGACCAACTGGCAACGCTCATCGGGCGGATCCAGGAGGCCGGCACAGAGGTGGTAAAGGCCAAGGCCGGGGCAGGTAAAGTTGAGGGGCAGTGCCAGGGGTGGGGGCCAACACCTGAAGCCCTGGGCGTGCAGAGAAGGACTGCTGTCCCTGGGCAAAGGGCAGTGCTTTTCTGTATTGCATTTGCCCTCACTTGATAAGAAGGCTGGATAGAAGATAGCAGCTCATGGGGCTGGGGATTTAGCTCAGCGGCAAAGCGCCTGCCTGGCAAGCGCAAGGTCGTGAGTTCGGTTCCCGGTACCGGAGAAAAACCAAAAAAAAAAAAAAAAAAAAAGATAGCAGCTCAGCCAGGTGGGGCACACGCCTATAATCCCAGCACTGGGAGGCTGAGGCAGGAGGAGCGCCACAAGCTTGAGTCCAGCCTGGCCTCCATAGTGAGTTCAAGGTCACCCAACACTACATAGGGAGACTCTGACTCAGAAAAAAAAAGACAGCATCTCGGCTTGCTGGGAGAGTGGGAGGACTCAGATCAGCAAAACCAATTCCATGCCCTGCAGGACAGTAAATTGCAGGGACGCTGACTAAACTTCTCCATGGTGAGCTGGACAGTTTGCAGGTATTGGGCCTCAGAGCAGCGTCCTCTGGGTTCTGGGGCTGCAGTGCAACCAGGCTAACCAGCTTTGCTCCCCAGGCTCTGCCACCCTGTCCATGGCGTATGCTGGCGCCCGCTTTGTCTTCTCCCTTGTGGATGCGATGAACGGGAAGGAGGGCGTTGTCGAGTGCTCCTTCGTTCAGTCAAAGGAGACAGAGTGCGCCTACTTCTCCACGCCCTTGCTGCTGGGGGTACGTAATGCACGGGAGGGAGGGGAGGTGTCCTGTCCCCTGGCTCTGAGGTGCAGACGTCCTCTGCCAAGCTGTGCTGCTGCCTGGCTTGGGAGTGGGTGCAGGCTTGTGAGGGTGGGTGCACATTTCAGAATTAAGACCCAGGAGAGATCTCTTGCTAAGGAATGCACGTCTCCCTCACTGTACATCTAACAGCGGGTGCTGAGTGTGCTGAGATGCCCCGAGGGTCCCGCCCAGGGCAGCCCTGCAGGACACAGCTTCCTGCGCCAGCCCAGCACCATCTCCTGTATCTCACACACACTCATCCACACCTGGTTTTGGTGCCTGCGAAGCCTCCCTCTTCCCCAGAGGCCTGCAGGTGTTGCCGGCTGTGGCTTTTGGTTCAGGCATTGCTGATTCCTGGCTTCTCCCCCAAGCTTTCCTCCTGGACATTGGCTGGCGCTAGGATGGAGACTAGTCACAGCACTAGCTCTACGTGGCTGTTAGGGGCAGCCGAGTGGTCAGGTTAGCTCTCACTGAGTCTTCAGCAAGCAGAATCCACTGGGTCCCTTGCACCATCCTACAAGGTTCTCCTTTCAAGTGCGGCAGCTGCAGAAGTCCGGCAGGCGTCATGTTGCCTCATCCCGTGACTCCCAGGGTCTTCCTGTAGATGCTCTGTTATCAAAGATCCTGAGACGTGGCCGAGACTTTGGGGGCTCCCGGGGGTGGGTGATAGCACTGCCCAGCTAAGTTCACAACCCAGGTGTGCAGGAGAGGAGTGCGCAGGGCCAATGGCTTTGCAGGGACATTGCTGTGGAGATGTGGCCAAGACTTTGCTGTGGAGGCTTCAAGTGACACGGTGACAGGGGACATGTGTTCTGCTGACTTCATTCACCTGCTTAATTGCATTTGATTCAAGTGAATATCAGTGTTTCTTCCGTCCTTGCCCAGCTTGGGGAGGGAACTAGAACCCGGAAGCATGTGCTATCGTGTTAAGTGCTCCTAATTATGATGACTTCCTGCGCCAGGTTGCCCTCGGACTTGCTCACAGCCTGCCGGGAGGTAGAGGGAAGGCTTGTTGTGGAGATAAGGAGGCAAATTGGAAATGTAGAGATACCTGTCCAAAGTACATGTGCAGTAAACAGCAGAGACCGTGTCCCACCTAGGACGGTCTGACTGATCTCCCAGCCCGGCTCAGACCCACCGTCCGGGGTCACAGCAGCCCAGAGCCAGTGAACGTGCGCGTCTCTGCAGCACACTCATTCTTGGAAGCTTTATTCTCTAACATCGCCGCCTCCCCTCTGTCCTCCAGAAAAAAGGTCTGGAGAAGAACCTGGGCATCGGCAAGGTCTCGCCCTTTGAGGAGAAGATGATCGCCGAAGCCATTCCTGAGCTAAAAGCCTCCATCAAGAAAGGGGAAGACTTCGTCAAGAACATGAAATGAGGCTTGGTCTGCAAACAGCCGGTTTGTTAATTTATTAAGGCATCATGTCACTGTGAAGCCATTTCGGAGACCTTTGTACTTTAATTTGCGTTAATAATGGCTATCGTATCAGCATTATTACCATCCTCCCAACTCTGGCTGGTCTGTTGGCACAACAATAAAAGCAGACTTCGATTTTCTTTTTCAAGGTCCCCTCCATAGATGTGCTTTCTTCTCCGTCAGAACTGACTTCAGAATGTCTGTCGCCTCCTTTCACTACAAATCGGAACAAGGTGCTATTTTAAGTATTAGATAAAGGCATCGGTAGCTTCAAGAATCTAAACCACGTAGTAGAATAAGACGCAGTCTGTCAGTCCCTGCTCCTCTCCGCCCTGCTATTTGTACCCTTAATGTCCCCCTGTGTGGCCTGATAGGGGCGGCTCCCCGATCCCGCAGTGTCCTTTTGCTCTCATGGGTGACGAGTTCAGCAGCTAATCCAGGACCGTTTCCTGGCTGAGCCGCAGCACCGTCTTCTGTAGAAGCTGCTGCTGTCCCCGCAGCCCTCCCGACCCCCGTAGCCTGAGCTGCCGAGGAGTGGGGGGGGTGGGAGGGGCAGAGAAAGCACCAGCGGCCGAGTCCAGATTGAGGACACCAAGCTAGCAGTCGCTAAGGAAGGGGTTTCAGGTTTGCTTCAGGGCATAAAGGACTTTGTGGGGTTGAGGTATAGGGGGTGAAAGGGACATTGGTTCCCTTCAGTGCTGGGACAGTCTGTTCCCCCGAAGCTGTGGCCTGTAAAGCGGAAGCAAAGCGCCAGTCGTGAGGAGGAGCTGGCATCAGGTGGGGCGGGGTGGGGTTTTGCCAATGGCGGACGCTCGTTCACCCGATAGTCTTCTGGGGTCTTTTTAAAACTAAACCGGTTGTGGATTTTATCATGAAGCATGACAGTTATTTTCTTAAATCATTCATGCTCACTGCATAAAAAACAAAAAGTAACTGAAAAGTAAAGCAGAAAAGTAATCCCTGATAGTGACTATTCCTCATGTTATGTAGTTCACAAGCTGAGCCCCGGCCCTGAAACATTTTCAGCCTGACCTTCTTTGTGATTGTGCTCCGCAAAGTTGATCTTAGGCCATTTTATGTCTCAGGATTCTGCAGTTGACAAGGCTCAGGAGAGTGGCTCTACTCCACAGGCCGTGTGCTCAGGCCGCAGTCGCTGGGCTGCACTGGGCTGGAACCTCCGAGGTTACGGCCATGGCGGGGAGGTAGCAGCACAGCTGGCGTTGCCATGAAGGCTCAGGCCTCTAAAGAAGGCCTATGGCTCAGGGTTCCCAGAATGTAAAAGCAGAAGCTGCCAGTTCCTAAGGCCTAGGCCTTCAGCTATCCCAGCCTCATCTGGGCCCGGACCTCGGTTAAAGCAAGTCGCAGGGAAGCCCAGGTGCCTTGTAAGAGGAGGCCACACAAGGCTGTGAGCCCCAGGAGGCTGGGTTTTGAGGGGCCGTGTTTGGAAATGAGCCCCAACACCTGACAGTTTCACCAGGACGTATTTTCCCCGGCATGGATAACCCTTAGGGTGAGCATATGACTGATACTCTATTCCCCTGCTGGACAATGAGGTGGTTAAGATTCCCAGTACCATAAGGAGTGTGACCACATCGCTGTCCTTTGAACTCTACCTGTGGTTCTGTGTGAAGCTCGGTTTGGGGTGCGATTGCTCTTTATGGGATTCTCAGAGCCACTCCGACAGGCAGAACCCAGGCCCAGAGTCAGGGCAGGTGTCTTGGTTTAGGACGGCCACTGCTCATCTGCTCTAGGGCTTGGCGCAGACGCCCTCCCTCCCCCTCAGAAGCTCGGATGTAGCAGTCCAGAGGGGAAGCCCAGAACCTAAAACACCTCGGATTCTTCCTGGTCACTGAGAAAGGAGGTGGGGTGGCCCACGCTTTGGAGATGCCAGCTGCCCCAGAGCTCTTTCTCTGGGTGAATCCACTCCCGCATTTCAGGGCTTGCACGCAAGTCAGGTCCATGAGACCCAGCAAGAAGAACGCAGGTTAAGTACTGCAGGACTCCAGAGAGGACAGAGCTACCTCTGAATGTCTCTGCACAGCGAGAACCAGGGCAGACTGCCCCCATCAAGCTACCCGGGAGGAGAAGATGGCACTGGGCCATTTGGGCTGGCCCTGAAGGCTGGGTAGCTTTTTAGCAGGCAAGGAGGGCAGGATGGGCTTAAAGGATTGAACCTAAGATGGATTTACATAGCCTACTTGCAACCCAGGACGCACAAGAAGGGCTTTGCCAGCTTGTGAGGGGCTGGGCCCTCCTCCTGCGGATGGAGCGAACAGGATGTCAAAGGTGCTGAGCAGCTTAGTGCCATGATGCTAGGCTGAAGCTCCCCGAGCTTCAACAAGGAAGGTCTTGTTTGGGTGCAGGCTGTGACTTGGGAGCCTGCAGTGAAGCTCAGATTGCATTTCAGCCAGCTCGGGCAGTGCCCGGCCTTGCTCATCACACTTGAAGTGGGAGCCACGGGGAGGGAGGGGTGCTGGGGACAGAGCTCCGAGGGCTGGCAGTGGTGCGCCAAGGAGCAGGAGGCAGGGATAACAGGGACATGGAAAACTCCTCAGCGTCTCCCGCCACATTCCATCCCGTGGAAGTCCCTCAGCCACCTGCCCCTGTGGGTGTGGGTTAGCCACCCCACTTCCGCTCTGAAGATCCAATTAGCCCCCTCCCTGGCTGGTGCTTGCATGGCAGTCCAGGCCTTCTGGCCACCTCCTGCCTGTCTCCTGTCCCCTGCAGCAAAGAACAAAAACCAGTAATTGCATGTATGGTGCTAGTGACTAAATGAGGTGGCTGAGGCCTTTGGCTGACAAAGCCAAGGACAGGAGAGCAGGGGAAGGCCGGGGTGGAGCCAGTGGGGTACCCACATTGAAGGCAATTAGATGGCAAAAGAGCCAGTCCTGCAAAGAAGCTGCTACTGAGTCCTGGGCAGACACAGCCAAGCTGAGTAATTACAAGAAAAGCTGAGTACCGAATCCTCTGTGCAGAGGAAGAGGGCACAGACAGCTTAACTCAGAATGACCCTCACCTTCATTAAGAGGACCTGGTTCTGCAGCCAGACCTCCCCTGCAATTCTCCCTGTGGCCTGCAGAGGGAACTAGAGGCTGTTGCGGCGCTCAGCTTCCAGGCCAGCCTGGGTCACTGGCTGGGTGAGATTAGCATTCCAGAGCCAAATCTGCTCCTGGTGCTGTCTGCTCTTAGCTCACCCAAGCGGGAGGGGACAGCCGCCACCAGACAGAGGGAATCGATGTGGGAGCGAATCCAGGAGGGCCGTGGAAACGAACTTCTGGGCTGAGTGGGTTGGGAACCAGGGCCTGGAGCTCCAAAGTCTGGGGAGACCACCACCACCAAGCCCTGCCTGCCTTGCCCAAGAGAAGCAAAACGCTGCTTAGTGATGACCTAACCCGGCAACCTTGGGCTCCTTCAGTGCCCCAAGTGGACAGTAAGCATGGGCCTGATGCTCCCGCAGCAGAAGTGCAAACCCCGCGTGGGAGGACCCTGCTGGGTGGCCAGGAGGGAGGCCCGGGCCTGACCTGCATTACAGGCATGCATCTGCAGCAGCTCCTCCTTCCTAGAGCTGGGCCCTGGTCCTGCCTTTGGTCTCTGGGGACAGTGGCCGTCAAGGGCTGGGCCTGTGTCCTCCTGGTGCTGGCTTCTTTGGGCAAGGGATGGAGCTCCTCAGTTAACCCACTTTAAGAACCTCAGAACCCTCCCCCTGCCTGCATTTTGGCTGTGGACTGTGTATAGAGTGCCCTCAACTCTGTGTGTGTGTGTCTGTGTGTCTGTGTGTGTTTTACTGGGGAGTGAACCCACGGCCTTCACACTGAGCAACATCCCCAGACCTTTTTATTTTGAGACAAGGTTTCACTTTGTCAACAAGTTGCCCAGGCTGGGCTCAAACTTGTGATCTTCCTGCCTCAGCCTCCCAGAATGCTGGCATTGCAGCCACGCACAACCACACCCAGATGAATGCTGTCAATTTTTAACTCCATGTACTTTGCATGATGGGTTAAATTGTGTTCCTAAAAATGCATATGTTGGAGTCCTAAGCCCCAGTACCTCCAAAACAAGGTCACTGCAGATGTAATTCATTAAGATGAAGTCATACAGATATGTGAAAGACCCTAATCCAGTGTGACTGGTGTCCTTATGAAAAGGGGGAATTTGGACAGGATGTGTGCATGAGAAAACACCACGTGAAGATGAAGACAGGGATGGGGGCATCGCTTTTGTGAGCCAAGGAACACCAAGGATTGCCGGCAACACTAGGAGCTAAGCAGAGACAGGGAACAGATTCTTCCCACTGGCTTCAGAGGGAACCAATCCAGCTGTCACCTCTTTTGCAGATTTCTGGCCTCCAGACCTGCAGGACAATGCACTTCTATTATTTAGGGCACTCGGTTTGTGATGCTCTGTTACAGCAGCCCCAGGAAATAAATACACATTGCACAGCTGAATATTGCACAGTGAGAAGGCCCTCCTAATAAAGTCAGTATGCGCAGTGGGTGTTACTTGTCAGGAGTCCATTTTCCATGACTGTAACAAAATACCTAAGGCTGGGTAATGTGTAAAGAAAGGAGGTTTGTTAGGTCCACAGTTTTGGAGACTAATGATACAAATAGCATGGCACTGACTGCATCGCATCATGGCAATGGCATTATGGCAGAAGTGGGAAAGAGAGGGAGAGGTCGTATGATGAGACAGGATGTCTGCGTGAAGGGAGGCTAGCTCTTTTATAGCAACCGTCTCACCAGAACAAAACAGGGCTCTGTGAGAATGACCTTAATTCCTTCTGTTCTAGTCAGCTTTCTATCACTATGAGCAAATACCTGAGAAAAACAATTTAGAGGAGGAAACGTTTCTTTTGGCTCATGGTTTCAAGGTTCCAGTCCATGGTAAGCAGGTTCCATTGTTTCTGGGCTTGTGGAGAAGTACAACATCATGGGAGAAGGGCATGGCAGAGGAAATCTGCTCATTTCATGGCATCTGGGAAGCAGAGAGTGGGAAAGAGCCAGAGGGGAGGGGCCAGGAACAGAACAGTCCCCAAGCTCACACCCCACGACCCTCTTCCTTCAAACAGGTCCTCCTGAGTTCCTACCACCTCTTGACTATGTCATCAAATTATGATCTCATCCGTGGATTAATCTCCCATGAGGTTAG